TGTAAGGTTTCCTGCCTGTTTATAGTCTCGTACAGTTCGTTGAGTGCCAGCTTGTTATTTTTATTTTCCTGAGGTGGGAGGGTCGGCATTTGAGCATCAGGTATTCCAAGACGGGTGAACAATGGGTTGAGACTTCCACTGAGCTCAAGTCAGCACACCATTTGTTGTTAATGAAGAGGCAAACCCCTAACTCCTGTCCTGTCCGCTCGGTGAATGGGGAATCCATCTAGTTGGATAGCCATGGGGGGTATCTTATCCGATAGCCATGTTTCAGAAAATCAGAGAATATTGCAATTACAATAGTCCCGTTGGTAGCAAATCCGCAAATGGAGATCATCCATCTTATTATCAATAGAATGGAGGGCAGAGGTGGCCAGGTTTCCCTTTGCCTTAATCTCACCAGGATCCCCCATCTCCTGCCTCTGTTACACTGGCGTTTCCTCTTGAATACCCCGAACATTTGAGTCGAAGTTGAAGCCGTAATTGGGGTAACTGACTATCTGATGTTCAAAAGTTATTGTCGGTTATAAGAAATTATAATGGATACGTTTCGTGAAAATAAAGTAAAGATAAACGCCAGAAGAATCACAAAATACCAAAGTTGGGTCAGAGCTCGCAAAATGGCGGCCATCCAGTACAGAGCCATCATGATGAGGCATGACCATTGACCATGGTTGTTGTCAGTGTGGTTTGTAGCCCTTTACCGTGTCCATTATAGATAAAGATCATGTTGTCCGGGTTGTTTGGGATCAAGGGCAACATTGAGTGAAAGCACCTGGGTGGAAATCAATCTCCCCCATCTCTCCTCATAGTTTCACTATTTCACATTGAAGTTAGGATAACAGCAACAATTGCAGTTGTCTTGGAGAAACAAAACAACTATGATTGAGCAACAACAGTAGCGCTGTATGAAATAAGAAGATTATGCAGTTTCAATTGAATGACTCCCTGAATCAAAGAAGTATCTATCCCGAGGTCTCTGATCTTGGGAGCTCTGCTCAGCTACAGTATGTAGAGAGGGAGAGGGCTGCTCTCTGTGCTCCTGGGGCAGTTATCTGATCTATCTGAAAGCTGCCACTGAAAAAGAGCCAGTGTGCTAATGAGGACAGTCAGCCACAACACTGAACATCACAGCTTTTACATGTCGGACAGAGGAGGAGAGAATCAACTTAGGTCAAAGTGAATTAATTACTGTATGCATATTTTGAGTTAAGTGGCATGATATCCACAATCATATTATTTTAAATTACCAGCACCAGCACTTGACATTGTGGGTATAGTACAGTCTTGTATAGAAAAACAGTTGGAAAACCTCTGTTGGATCAGCTAGCTCTTCAACCATATTGCCTGTAGCCAAGGAGCAAAGCATCTGTCAGTTCTGAGGAGACCACTGCTGCGCTGGGCTGTTTCCTTAGCCTCTCAGCTCAGATGTTGATCACTCAGGGGATGTGTTTTTTCACCGCTGAAGGACACAGCCGGGCCGAGCCACACACCACTCCACTTAACCTCCCTCCCGCTCCACACCAGTCACTGTTTATCTTCAACATGAGGGAGACGACAGCATGACACTGCTACACAAACCCACACCACAACTCTTTGATGTGTTCTATGGCAGAGGAATGCCTTATGGGCGGTCCTCCCTCTTTACTCAGCCTCTTTCACCCAACCTGCTCTCACACATGTTCCTCACGTTGACCTAAAACCGGGTGAGCTAACCTTTAGGGAACAACACTTTAGTGTGAGAGCTTTGGTGTAGGCTACCCGAGGGCTCATTTACCAGGCGAAGCGTCACATGAGAGAGAGAGAAGCCAAAGGGCAGTCCTGTATAGTACGTTGAGCATTGGCTGCATGACACGTGACTACTCTGCTCCACTACTGTCGGCATGGGAAACACGAAGCTAACATGTAATTAGCCGTTTCTATTTTAATGTTGCTGTACAGCCCCTGAGCAACACGAGCTAGGCTGTTGTTTGAACTCCCAGTGCCAGGAAAGTTTGAGACTGTCAGTATGGCTTTTGGTTATTATGCTTAACTTTATATAAGGCAGCTCAGAATGAAGTCACTCTCTCTGTGGAAAGCCATTAGTCTGGGGACAGACAGAGGGGATTGTCCTACCCAGAGAACCCCTTGTGCTGAAATTCATACCACTGAAAACATTACCCACAGCAGGGAAACAATTTTCCCATAATGATAAATGAGTAGCCATTTAAAGATAAATGTAAGTAGGACTATGCCCAAATATCCTGGAGAATTGACAGTGGAGTGTAAGTGCCATTCCACATCACTCTTTGTGTAACATCAAAAGTTTTACTTTTGGGGAAAAGAGTTCCCCAAACTATTCTAAAACAAGTGAAGAAAGACAGTCTCCTTCCTGAGGGAAATTTGAGTAACGGAGGTAAAAGCTCATTTTCCTGTTCCCTAAACTCCATATTCAACATAATTCAAGCTGAGAGCTACAGCAAACTCCTGGCACCACATCAAAGCAGGGCAAGCGTCTGCCTCGCTTCCTCTCTCTCTGCCCCCTTTCCTCTGTTCCCTCCATCTCTGGAGGTGTCGGAACAGAGAGGGAGGAAGGGAGCGAGGTGACCAGGAGGAGAGGGCTTTATGTGTTGTAATCATATGGGGCCTGCTCCTCAGACAACACTGTGAAAATATCAATTCAGACTAGATGCTTGGAGTGGGTGCTGAGTATGGAACTAACTAAAACAAGGGAAACACGGTGGGGCAAGAGATTTCATTGAGAAACTTGAAGTGCTGAAAAAGGCAGGAATTTCTGAAAGAAATAGCAACCTTTTCATCAAGGAAGCAAGAGTTAAGGTAACATTTGTTGTAGTTTAAGACAAGTGAAGTTGTCTGCCTACGAGACAGCTGAGCCAGGCACTGAATCTAGTGTGGTCTACTGTATGTGCTACAAGACGAGCAGAATCATCAATGCGATCAGTAAAACCTTTTCTGGGGGGAAATGTAAATAATGAGAGGCCAAACTGCCTGAGAAAATGTGGATGAAAGCTGAGAACTCAGTAGGCAATGCAAACATTCAGTCATACTGTACAATGACATAAAGAGTAAATTAGCAGCATAGTGAAGCAATATGTAATAGATAGTATTTTATTTTAAAAGAGAAATTGAGAAGCCCTCATCAACATATTAAAACATTTTTGCCATCTAGTCAATCAAGCTTACGTGATGGCTCTTTAAAATAAATACTTTTAAAGACAAAATAATACAGACAGAATATGTGAGATCCAAACCAAACAAACCAAACAATTATTCAGAAGAGATTAACCTTTAAAAAAGTGTCCATAAAATTCCCATGCTCAACCCCAACAAAAAGTTGTATAAAACATTGAAGTACTTTGCAAAATACATAATTTTACAAAACGTTTTCTTTTTCTTTTTTAAATCACAGTAAAATATTAGCTGGTATTATAGCAAGAAACCAGGAATTGTCATGTAGAATAAAAACGACAGAAGGTGCTTCTGCATTTTTTACATCAGTATTATTCACATATGTCATGAATGTATGATCAAGTCCTCCAACGCGGTGTTAATGGCCTGATGGAGCCTATGACGGGTGTATTGCACATGGCTGCTCCTCTTCAACCTCTCCTCATTGCCAGCTTACGTGCTGAGGTGAAGATGCACGCTGGTGGCCATGGTAACCAGCAGCACCACACTATTGAGATGCAGTCTGTCCCGAGGCACCCACACGTCATTCTCAGGAGGGGACCAAGGCATAAACCATCTTTCAATGCACTTCAGCTCACAGCCCTCCGTTAAGCTAATTCACTCCAATGTCTTTCTGTCTATGACACATTATCAACAAATGTTGCTCACATTTTGCAAATATAAAAATAATTTGGTTCCATTTAACAGTTCCTCCACTGCAAAAAAGCCCTCAGTATCGGGGGAGAAGATTTCAAGAATACAGGTTACAGTACAAAAATGTGGTCCACGTTGAATCGCATTGAAACATGCATGTTTTTCTGTTGATGTCTTGAGCTCATCTCTCCCCTACCTACCTACCAAGACCCAGACCTCATGGCTTTCCCTTCACACTTAAGTGCACATGTACCTTACCGTCTCTTGACAAGACCGAGTGGATTCGATTCAGTTATACACATTCAAAGACCGTCATAATTAGCACCTTTGACCAGCAAAGCACAGGAACCCATCTACTGTATCCATCTTCTCAGGACCCCACAGGAGATGCCTTTTAGAGGCTTATAAATCTGCCTGTGACAAATGATTGTTGTTTTTTGTCTAAAGATCATGATCCTCTCATTCTAAGCATTATAGAATGGGTGAAATGACAAATTGTAGACAGCGAGTGATGGAACAATGACGAGAAGAAACAAACTGAATTTACAGCTGTAATATTGTTTGCTGACAATAGGCTTAAACAGCTATCTCAAATTTGCTAACCAAGAGCTTTGCATTTGTTAAGGGATCAGTGGGAGACACTGTAAGAGCAGGTAAACAAAAGGCAGTTGGGCTTGAGAGTGTGATGAGCTCCTTCCACTAGCCTGAGGTTTGCCCTATTCTTTAGACCGCTCGTGATCAGATGGGATGGTTCAAACCAGAGCCAAACATTATTTCTAAGTGCAAAGGCTTAAGGACGCCTTCCACCCCCAGAACATCTCTCTATCCTTTCTTAATATTTACCTGTGCTGCAGAAAAACAACAAAATATAACTTAAAATAAACTCTCTAGGCACTGTTGATTTCCAAGGCTTTTTGTTGCAGATAGAGAAGAAAAATGTTAGAAAACAAACACTTACAAATAAGAATCAGAAAGTGGGGTCCTCCAGTCCAGTCCTCCAACACAACCCAACAGAGTAGCAGCTCTAAGTCCTGCAGTGGAGTGGCTGTATGGATATGGACAGTCAGTCAGTGTCTAAAGGATAAGTGTGGTGAAGTTCTCAAGGTAAGTGTCATATCAGTCTCAAGCCTGTCTTTCACCCTCCCTTCCCTTCTGATAAATCAAAAACCAGCTCTCCCTCAGGCCATGATTTTCTGGGGGATCTCTATGGAAGCCTTGAGGAAGATGGAGTTGTCTCTGACATAGTTCCTCTTCTTGATCTCTTCGTGGGAGATGAACTTGGGGTAGCCAAAGCCCAGGGTACTCTCGTCCAGCGAGTTGCGAGTGCTGCACGGCTTCTGGAAGTTCTTCCAGTTGGGGTCAGGGTTGAAGGTCTCTGTGATGTGTTGTGGCTTGGACAGCGACGGGTCGCTCTGGTCTATGATGGAAAAGGTCACCTTGTAGGAGAAGGGCCACTCGAGCAGGTTGTCGTACTCCCCCGGCAGCACCCGGATGTAGATGGAGAGGTGCGAGCCCTCCCCACTTCCATTACCGTTGAGAAACGCAGAAACCTGCAACTTGTAGCCATAGCGATGGGTGTAGAAGGGCGGGCTGAAGAACTCGTGATTGTTCCGGAGCTTGGCCTCCTGGAGTTTCCGGGAGTAGTCGCTGAGCTTCCAGATGAGCACTCCATCGTTGCTGACCGACAGCTCCTCCATCTCCCTCCGCAGCTCCAGGATCTCCTGCCGCTGGCGCCCCACCAGGCTGCACATCATGGTCAGGTGGGACTTGGTCGTGTCCTCCAGGTGACGCCCGATGGCCAGTTTTGGGCACTGCAAGGAGAGAGGAGAGACTGGTTAGGGAGAGGTCACTGTGTGTAGCAAGGAGGGTAAAACTCTGTATAGTACAAACTCTGTATAGAAATGTGTTGTGTTTAATAACGTGGTACAGTATGCACAGCACACTAGATTGTTTTGTCTGTTTGAGTTTCACATTCAAGCCTCCTACAGTAAGTGAATGTTGTGTCCGTCTGCTGATCAGCTGCTCTTTTGGGAGCCCTGCCATACACATTTGTGTTTGGTGTACTGAACATCTGCACTCTTGGTTGTACTCTCTCGCCTGATGCCTTTGTGGTCGGGGAGAGAGTCATTTATGCATTTGTCAGACCATCTGCATTGCTATGCACTGAGCTTTCCAAACTCGCTCCCATTTCAAACTGAAGGACAGAAGCTGACAACACAAAGCATGAAGCCTGTCTGCTCTGACTCCGGGAGCACTCCAAATTTTCTCAGATTGACGTCAGTTTCAAAAATAGACTAAAATACGCTGTCAGAGCGGAGGAGAAGTGTGACTCTCATTAAAATATAGCCTAGAGGCACGAACAGACAGACGGCAATGTATGCTGGAGACAATCATCGCTTTGGACATACGTTACTGGGTTTCAATGCAACCGGAGCATGAAGCATTATAATCCAAAAATAATTTTGGAAACATGCACAAAAAACAACCCGAGAGTGATAAAATGATAAAACTTGACGTCAATAAAGCAGTGGGCAGTAATGACAAAAAACGATGCCTCTTGCAAGAAGCTAGAATCAAGGTTTTTCTCTGAGGGTCTGAAGTAATAAAAAGCAGCTATATCGCAGCAGGTCAGCCTTACCCTGTGTTTGCAGCCAGCATCTTTGAAGGGGCAGAGGATGAGGGCACTGCCACAGTTCTCCTTCACGTGATTGGCCAAGTCCTCCCGGGCGATGTTGGGGGTGCCACACTGGTTTGGACACGCAACTGGAAACCGAGGGCAGTGGTACTGATGGTTCTGTAGGGTAGAAAAAAGTATTATTCATTTATTATTTCATTTATTACTTTTGACATAGATTTAGACAGCCAGCAAGGTAAAAAATATATTGGGATCAGAATTTTTTTATCATACAAAATGCGCTCTGTGTATCATGCATGCAAGATTAAGAGAATCGACAAGACAACATGAAGCACTTTGCACAGCAGAATCACTGTATGAGAGATTAACAACTTCTTTTTTTTTTTTTTTTTCTACATTGTAGAAGAATAATGAAGACATCAAAACTATGAAATGGAATCATGTAGTAACCAAAAATGTGTTAAACAAATCAAAATATATTTTATATTTGAGATTCTTCAAATAGCCACCCTTTGCCTTGATGACAGCATTGCACACTCTTGGCATTCCCTCAACCAGCTTCATGAGGTAGTCACCTGGAATGCATTTCAATTAACAGTTATATTGTGGAATTTCTTTCCTTCTTAATGCGTTTGAGCCAATCAGTTGTGTTGTGACAAGGTAGGGGGGTATACAGAAGATAGACCTATTTGGTAAAAGACCAAGTCCATATTATGGCAAGAAAAGCTCAAATAAGCAAAGAGAAACGACAGTCCATCATTACTTTAAGACATGAAGGTCAGTCAATACTGAACATTTCTAGAACTTTGAAAGTTTCTTTAAGTACAGTCGCAAAAACCATCAAGTGCTATAATGAAACTGGCTCTCATGAGGACCGCCACTGGAATGGAAGACCCGGAGTTACCTCTGCTGCAGAGGATAAATTCATTAGAGTTACCAGCCTCAGAAATTGCAACCCAAATAAATGCTTCACAGAGTTCAAGTAACAGGAGACTATGTGAATCAGGCCTTCATGGTCGAATTGCTGCAAAGACACCACTACTAAAAGGACACCAATAAGAAGAAAATACCTGCTTGGGCCAAGAAACACGAGCAATAGACATTAGACCGGTGGAAATGTGTCCTTTGGTCTGGAGTCCAAATTTGAGATTTTTGGTTCAAACCGCCGTGTCTTTGTGAGACGCGGTGTGGGTGAACGGATGATCTCCGCATGTGTAGTTCCCACCGTAAAGCATTGAGGAGGTGGTGTGATGGTGTGGGGGTGCTTTGCTGGTGACACTGTCTGTGATTTATTTAGAATTCAAGGCACACTTAACCAGCATGGCTACCACAGCATTCTGCAGCGATACGCCATCCCATCTGGTTTGGGCTTAGTGGAACTATCATTTGTTTTTCAACAGGACAATGTAACCTCCAGGCTGTGTAAGGGCTATTTTACCAAGAAGGATAGTGATGGAGTGCTGCATCAGATGACCTGGCCTCCACAATCCCCCGACCTCAACCCAATTGAGATGATTTGGGATGAGTCGGATGGCAGAGTGAAGGAAAAGCAGCCAATAAGTGCCCAGCATATGTGGGAACTCCTTCAAGACTGTTGGAAAAGCATTCCAGGTGAAGCTGGTTGAGAGAATACCAAGACTGTGCAAAGCTGTCATCAAGGCAAAGGGTGGCTACTTGAAAAATCTCAAATCTCAAATATATTTTGATTTGTTTAACACTTTTTTGGTTATTACATGATTCCATGTGTTATTTCATAGTGTTGAGGTCTTCATTATTATTCTACAATGTAAAAAATATTACAAATAGAGAAAAACCCTTGAAGGAGTAGGTGTGTCCAAACTTTTGACTGGTACTGTAGAACAAATGACTGTCTATTCAAAGGAATGGGATAAATTAGTTGCTTATGGAGCTGATCTTTGCATCATAAAGCATGTGCTCTGAGAGGGAGACATAATGAATAAACTGTGGCTATGAGAGGAGAGTGGGAGTGGCTGGCCGGCCGCTGGGCCTGAGGACAGGATGTGTGCAGAGACAGGTGCTGCCGGGGGTGGGCGCTGCCAGTACAAACAGCAGCAGGCACACACAGCGGGCTGGCACAGAGAAGTGGGCACCATGAAAGCCAGTGTTCATGCAGCCGTGGGCCCAGTGCCATTACGCTCTACAGGGACTGAGAACCCTCCTTCATCCACGACTGAGACTGCACTGTTCCTTTATCACACACAGTGAAATAAGGGAAGGGCTCATAACAACCCTCCAGAATAAACCTTCAAAACACTTCATTCTCACAGGTCTGAGTTTGGGCACTAATTTAGGTCTAGCCTTCCAAGTAGTAATACAAATACTACGTTGATGGGAAAGAAAATTTACCCATTAATAAAGTGATGACAAATGTGATTGTAAAACAATACATGCAGGAGTATGTAGGGAAGGAAGAAGTCCTAGAGCTTGTTCGGTCAGAGGAGGTGTGTTGGTGTTGTTGACTGACCTGGATGGTGTCGAAGACAAACTCCTTGCCACAGTACTTGCAGGGCTGCGTGCGTTTGGGACACTCAGCCAGACTGTGCTGGGACAGGAGCCGACGCATCATCCGCGCGCCACACTTATTCTCACAGTACACACTCTCCTGGGGACAGATACCCTGGTGGTTCTGGGAGAGAAGACAGGACACACAAACCGGTCACAACACAGCAGTGACATCATCACAACCAACTAAACTACCAGCAAAACTAGCAAGCTTTCAGCGCAGTTCATCATAATTGTTCAAGAAGCTAGGCGTATGTCGCACGTCACTACTTCACAGGAGGCATTTTAATGTTTTTATGAAAATGTGTTTTATTGGCAGAAATCCCTTCTGGAACATGTTAACTTTCATGTGCCCTAATAACAAACTTGTATGCCATCTGTAAATAAGAATACAATTGTTAAATTACGAGCCTAGTTGGTTTAGCCACGGAAAAAGACAGGAACCTTCCCGCTAGCCATGATTGGCTGAGATAATGGATGGGCTGGACATGCCGAGAGATGAGTTTGGATTGGTCTGCCACGTAGCATGTTTCTGTCTATAACATGAGCTGCTCAGTATGTGGCTTTTTCAAAAGATATCATGGAGAACTGCAAAAGTGTTGTTACTGCTCACAACATTGCTGCCCTGAATTTAACAGGCGCTATCGACAAAGATCAGTGGGAAGAGGTTGTGATGGACTACTTTCTGGAGGATGATCATGCCATGCTTACCCTCTCTGACGATGAGGAAATCCCTGATTTAGGTCAAAACATTTTCATTAAATCAGACATTATAGAGTCTTCTGATGACAGTGATGGAGAAGAAACGGTGATCAACAGTGTTGTCATGGAAGAAGTTGACCGAGTTTTGAAATCAGTGGAATGCCCGGTGGAAGCAGAGTACTGTTTGATTGCAAATGTGGAGGGAGTCGAAAAGAGAACACAGAAGGCTGTATAAAGGTAAGAGTCTAGCTAAATGTTCAGATATTATACATTTCTAATTTGGTCAGAAAGTCATTTTCATTGCAAGTTACAGCATACTGTTAGCTAGCTAGCTAACGTTAGCTGGCTGGCTTGCTAGCTAACGTTACGTGTATGATCTGTGTAGTAATATTATTTGTATCTCAGAAATTTGCTTTATTTGCATTGCTCGTTTTAGCCTAATGTTAGCTAGCTAGCTAACATTGAACCTAGTTGGTTAGCTTTAGCTACTTGCAGATTCATGCATGATGGCTAGCTATGACAATCAGTTTGTATTGCTAGTAGTATGGGTTGGGATTATGGTTCATTGTTTAGCTCACTCGGTTTAGCACATGGCCTCACATGTGAATCCTTAAAGAGATGGGTGGGGCTAAGGCTTAAGAGGGTGTGAACGATGCTGAATGGGTGTAGACAAAGAAGAGCTCTCCAGTAGGTGTACCAAAACATTCAAGGACCTTTTTCTAAAAAGTGGGGTTGCAAGTTTATCAACTTTCAAAGCAGAATTACTTTCCCATTGTTCCTCAACTGCAGTGTATGATATACCATTTTCTAGTTCAGAGTCTCTACTTTTATCCAATGTAAAAAACACAATTTCAAATTTTGCTACATATGACTCCCAAGTGGCGCAGTGGTCTAAGGCACTGCATCGCAGTGCTAGCTGTGCCACTAGAGATCCTGGTTCGAATCCATGCTCTGTCGTAGCCGGCCGCGAACGGGAGACCCATGGGGCGACGCACAATTGGCCCAGTGTCGTCCAGGGTAGGGGAGGGAATGGCCGGCAGGGATGTAGCTCAGTTGGTAGAGCATGACGTTTGCAACGCCAGGGTTGTGGGTTCGATTCCCACGGGGGGCCAGTATGAAAAAATTATAATAATGTATGCACTCACTAACTGTAAGTCGCTCTGGATAAGAGCGTCTGCTAAATGACTGTAAATGTAAATGTAAAATAGAGGTGGTGGGTCACAATTGGTCAGATAAAAAACTAGTTCTTGGTATGCACTAATTTTATGATCCCACTGCCACTGAAAATGAACAAATAATTATCCTATAAAAAGCTGGAGCCATATTAATAATTATGTTATGATGGAAAGGCCATATTGGGCCTGTATAAACAGAGGAAGGGCAGCCTGTAAACAGTAACAGAGGTGTTAGTGACAGGGAGAGAGGCTAACGTTAACCCTGAGGCACTACATCTCCTGGACGGAGAGAAAAACAGACTATGAAATGTGCACAGATCTACCTCTCTCCCCTCACGCCAACACTGCCACCTTCGAAAGCGGAGTAGACACTACAAAGATTGCTATTCACTCAGTGAAAAATGTGGCCTTAACCAGGTTGTTTACTTGCTAGTGCTACTCTGTAAAAATATAAAAAAATACAAAGTAGGTCTCTGCTTGTTGTTGTTGGTGTTTACCTCATAGGCCTCCCCGGTGAACTCGCTGCCGCAGAACTCGCACTTGACCTTGCGCTTGGGGCAGTCGTGCTGCAGGTGGTCGGGCAGGTCACGGCGCGTCAGCTTGATGGAGCAGCGGTTGGGGCAGGGGATCACATTGAAGGCACAGGTGGAAAAGTGGCCCTGAGGGAGACGGAGGGAGGGGGGAGAGAGGAATGTGTCAGCAGCCAGACACGCTTCCTCACCCTGCATTTAGCCAGGCTTCAGCTAGCAGATAACACAACATGACACACTGGAGGCAGGAGACACAGGGCTCTGGTCACAAAGAAGGTGGCTTAGACAGGATGAGTGAAGAAGTGAGGGAGTGAGTGAGTGAGTGAGTGAGTGAGTGAGTGAGTGAGTGAGTGAGTGAGTGAGAGAGAGAGAGAGAAAAAAAAAGGGTAATAAAGCCAGGCAGGCAGCTACTGACCTGGAGCTGCTTCATCTGTCCGGTCCAGCGACAGCCCTCCTCACTGTGGATGCAGCGGATGGGCAGAGCCAGGATCTGCTGCTCCAGCTCTGGGTCAGGGTAGATCTGTAGCCATGACACAACCATGAGGACATGATCAGCACGGGCTCACACTAGGATAGATACGCCTTGTCCAGCCTATCTCCTGTTTCTGTAGCATGAGGCAGGTTGATGTACAAGTACAGCCCCTGGACAGGAAGCTAGTCTGTCGCAGGGCCCCAATACATCTCCTTAATGCTGACTGCAAAGCAGAGGCATCGGGTCTCACTAGGATAACTGCAGTATAAACCCTGGATGGTGTGGTTATGCTATGGGGACAGAGTGGGGGAATAGTGGCCGCACCCAGGGCAACACCCAAACTAATATAGTGTGTGACTGAGTAAGACAAAGGGTGTATCCAGCAGTCTAGTAATCATTATCATGTTGATGCCTAACTAAGTGTATTACTAATAGAATGAAGCCTTGACAAAGACGGTCTGAGCGACCAGCAGCAAAACAGCAGAAGAGGAAGTTCAAAGTACTAGTCATGGACATGTGACATAAATGACGAATGAATCAGTCCCACAGGAAAATTAGGAATAACAATTAAACTTCTGTGAACACAAGAACACATACTGCAATGTTTATGGAACTATAGTTCATGAAATGTAGAAAACATCAGAGAAAGAATTAGAGTGAGGAGGGAGGGAGAGAGAGAACACCCCATAGTCACTGATCAAGAAGGATGAGGTCCTTCTCTATCCAATCAAGCCAAATCTGCTCCCTACAGGACAGTATCCTCTGGATTTACAGATTTAGGCCACACACACACACGCTCTCTGTGACAATCCATGTGAGGCAGCACTGCATGCATCTCCGTCCCTATGGTGCCCAGGCTGCCTCTGTCACACGAGCAGAAAAGGAACTTCCTCAAAATGTCAAAGCTGTCCCTAAAACAAATAACAGCTCAACTGTTAGCTCATAAGCCTTCATAGGAGAGGCGGTCTCTTTCTCTATAGACTATGAATCAAAACATTGAGATACTATGGTTTTACCATAGCCTAAATGTTATTTATACATACATAAGTACACTGTAATTGTTTATGGTCTTGGCACCCTATTTGAACTGTAAAAGTCGGAATTGTAAAAGGTAAATGTGTAGTGGAATTAAAAAGGGTCCAGTGAATAATACATTATGAACAAAAGTAGATCTGAGGTAAAACGTTTCACTCTCCTGACTTGGCAGCATTTATTGGTCCATTAACTTACATGAACTGTTATGTCATCGCAAATAAAAGCTGTGTGTTACAGTAGTTTAACTAGTGAAGATGAATTATATATATATATACAGTTGACGTCGGAAATTTACATACACTTAGGTTGGAGTCATTAAAACTTGTTTTTCAACCACTCCACAAATTTCTTGTTAACAAACTATAGTTTTGGCAAGTCGGTTAGGACATCTACTTTGTGCATGACACAAGTAATTTTTCCAACACTTGTTTACAGACAGATTATTTCACTTATCATTCACTGTATCACAATTCCAGTGTGTCAGAAGTTTACATACACTAAGTTGACTGTGCCTAAGTAAGCATTTCACTGTAATGTCTGCACCTGTTGTATTCGGCGCATGTGACCAATAAAATTTGATTTGATTTGATTTGATTTAAACAGCTTGGAAAATTCCAGAAAATTATGTCATGGCTTTAGAAGCTTCTGAAAGGCTAATTGACATACTTTGAGTCAATTGGAGGTGTACCTGTGGATGTATTTCAAGGCCTACCTTCAAACTCAGTGCCTCTTTGCTTGACATCATGGGAAAATCAAAAGAAATCCGCCAAGACCTCAGAAAAAAAATTGTAGACCTCAACAAGTCTGGTTCATCCTTGGGAGCAATTTCCAAATGCCTGAAGGTACCACGTTCATCTGTACAAACAATAGTACGCAAGTATAAACACCATGGGACCACGCAGCTGTCATACCGCTCAGGAAGGAGACGCGTTCTGTCTCCTACAGATGAACGTACTTTGGTGCGAAAAGTGCAAATAAATCCCAGAACAACAGCAAAGGACCTTGTGAAGATGCTGGAGGAAACAGGTACAAAATTATCTATATCCACAGTAAAACGAGTCCTATATCGACATAACCTGAAAGGCCACTCAGCAAGGAAGAAGCCACTGCTCCAAAACCGCCATAAAAAAGCCAGACTACGGTTTGCAACTGCACATGGGGACAAAGATCGTACTTTTTGGAGAAATGTCCTCTGGTCTGATGAAACAAAAATATAACTGTTTGGCCATAATGACCATTGTTGTGTTTGGAGGAAAAATGGGGTGGCAGGCAAGCCGAAGAACACCATCCCAACCGTGAAGCACGGGGGTGGCAGCATCATGCTGTGGGGGTGCTTTGCTGCAGGAGGGACTGGTGCACTTCACAAAATAGATGGCATCATGAGGAAGGACAATTATGTGGATATATTGAAGCAACATCTCAAGACATCAGACAGGAAGTTAAAGCTTGGTCGCAAATGTGTCTTCCAAATGGACAATTACATTTTTTTTACATTTAACATTTTAGTCATTTAGCAGACGCTCTCATCCAGAGCAATTTACAGTTAGTGATTGCATACATTTTCATACTGGCCCCCCGTGGGAAACGAACCCACAACCCTGGCGTTACAAGCGCCATGCTCTACCAACTGAGCTACAGGGGACCCCAAGCATACTTCCAAAGTTGTGGCAAAATGGCTTAAGGACAACAAAGTCAAGGTATGGGAGTGGCCATCACAAAGCCCTGACCTCAATCCTATGTGAAACACTGAGTTTAAATGTATTTGGCTAAGGTGTATGTAAACTTCCGACTTCAACTGTATATATATCACATTAACCATGCTGTAATGAACACTGCCTTCAAATCACCAAAATATAAAGCCATCTGAAAAGAGCACAGTACTATGGCAGAGAATTGGTGCTGCTCGCAGCCTGTGAGGTGTGTGTTGTGTCTCAGGTTGGGTACTATGACAGCAACAAATAAAGAATTGGCTATTTGTGCAAATGGACCAATAAAGCAAGTATTGTATTGTGCTACAGAACAGCACTGTCTCTTACAATGTCCTGCAGCATGTCCTGCAGCATAATAATGGTGAGTGATTGAAGCAGATAACCGCAATACTATTTCCTCCTGGAAATCACATGCGCTGAGCCAAGATGACAAAGAAACCAAATCCTTTAAAGTAAACCTTAACGCTCCCTCATTGTTCCAGCCTGGGAGTCTGCGGGGGACTGCAATAAAGACCTTTTAATAACATAGTCCCTGGCGGATCAGGGAACTAAAGCTTTTTGGAACTCAAACTTCGACTCGGTCTGTCTGTGTTTTGGAAGAGTCAGTCAGCTGCAGAACACATCCCTTTACATTAGTGACATTCTGCTTCCTCTCTTTGACAACAGGGACATATTTTAATGACATGTTGCACTGCCTGGGTGAAATGAGAGCATTATTTTAATGGAGCTGTGTTCAGGGAGGGCAAGGACAGGGACATAGTGTAATGAGCTGTACCCAGGGAGCTGGACCTTATTCCCTATATACTGCACTACTTTTGACCAGGGCTCACAGGGTTCTGGTCAATAGAAGTGCACTACATAGGGAATAGGGTGTCCATTGGGATGCACCCCTAGTCACCAGCAGGGGGTAATGTACAGGTGACTTGGAGGCTGTGAAGGCATCAGTAAATAACAGTGTCTGACAGGTGTGCAATGAGCACGTCCTCCCTGTGGGGACCAGTGCACTGCTTCTCTGTCGTGACTACAGTCTTCTTAAGTGCTTCGCTAGCAGTCACAGCTCGGCACCCACTGACCTCACACTCACCACCTCACTGGATTACTGCCTCTGAACTCCTACCACACTTTAGCATGCTAATGTTTTAGTATAGAGCATGATGGGCCTAATGTATGGGCAATTCATTAATTCATGGAAAGACTAGCCAGTGAGACTGTACAGTAACTGAGATGATGAATTAGTGGTCATTGGTGTTTTTATTCCTTTGTTAAGTGTTAAGCTTGGGGTCCTCTCATGCACAGAGAAGAATTATGTCCTTATCCTTTCGCTGCACACTGTGGCACAATGGGAAAATCAAGTTTGTAAGAGAGTGGTTCTTTCATTACGAATAGAGTCTGCGACCATCTTTTCCCCCCAGTAAAATCTGATTAAATGCTTAAAAGAAAAGACAGAGTAAGAAGCCAAAAGTTTAATTAAAGAGATTTAGATGTGGTATTCTTTCTCTCGAGCCGAGATGAAGAGGTTTAGGAGAGCTACTGTTTTAGTGATTTGAAGGTTTTTGCTTTTCTCCAGCAATGCAATATGTGCTTTTACCACTCCCCAGCCTCTCTCCGGTTGTGTAATAATGTCTGCTCATTTGTTTTTCATGGGTACTGTATTAAACGCTAACAGTGGTGTGTGAGAGTGAACTGTTTTGTGCATTGAGAAACGGACCGCCATCAAACCTGACATTCCAAGGGGAATTGGTAGCCTGTGGTCCTTCATTAGCACAATTAGTGGGCCTATACTAGGATGGGTAGCTAGCTGCCTGAGCCCTCTCTCTGTCTGTTGGTCTATGGGTCTGGGACAAGGGACATGGTGACTCACGTACTTTTGGTCAAAAGTAGTGCACTATTTAGGGAATAGAGTGCCATTTGAGACATTACAAGGACATTCATAATCAGTGTGTTGTATGGGGAAGTTACTGGGTAGCCCGAAGACATCAGAAAGTGAGGGTGAATTCTGTTGATTGGGGCATGGTTGTAGGCTTAGCTATGGTTGTAGGCTCAAGTATTGCTTAACTGACACATATTCAAACTTGAATACGACATGTGAGAAAGTGGGTAAGTGGGTTTTAACCGTACCTTGGCATAGTCCAGGGGCAGCTGGTCCTCTGGGCACTTGAAGACCCCCTCACTGTAAGACACAAGAAGGAAAGGACACATTAATAATCATTGTACTCCCGAGTGGCGCAGTGGTCTAAGGCACTGCATCGCAGTGCTAGCTGTGCCACTAGAGATCCTGGTTCGAATCCAGGCTCTGTCGTAGCCGGCCGCGACCGGGAGACCCATGGGGCGGCGCACAATTGGCCCAGCGTCGTCCAGGATAGGGGAGGGAATGGCCGGCAGGGATGTAGCTCAGTAGAGCATGGTGTTTGCAACGCCAGGGTTGTGGGTTCGATTCCCACGGGGGGCCAGTATGAAAAATATAAAATAATGTATGCACTAACTGTAAGTCGCTCTGGATAAGAGCGTCTGCTAAATGACGTAAATGTAAAATTGTACATGATAGGGTACCACTGTCCTAAGAGGCCCACACACAGTGCCACACAATGTGCCACACACTGTGCCTCACACAGTGCCCTTGCCTCTCTTCCAGTTGCCTTCAAAAGCACCACCACCCCCATCTCTGCTCTCACACACCCATCCCAACCACACTGCACTGTACAATAAAGCCAGATTACTTTCTCTGAGCCATTGGCTTTTATGTAGTTGCCCTTTCAACTTCCCCCCCTCTAGGGATTTATTTCCACAAATTTTATTACTGGAGAGGAAAAGAGAACACATTGGGGCCTGAACTGTCTATCTAGAATACATTAAGGGCTTCTCTCGCTCGCCCCCACCCATACCCCCCCCCTTTCTCTTGCACTCTCATGTCAAAGGTGTTCATTTTTACCTCTCTCTTTGAAGGCAGCGGGATGACAACCTGAGTGTGTGTGAAGAGGCTGAAGAGGGCAGTAAGCCTGGTCTTTGTACCCTCCCTCTCCCTCAGGAAATATTGATTGCTGATTTGCCAGTGAGGCTGGCGGGTCTGGGCGACTAGCTGTTGCCTCTCTTG